TTGAGCTGTTGTTCAGCATCTTAGCTGTAGAGGGCAGTGTCACTGGCCCTCATATGTGGGATCCGAACCGGGGCCCTCTGGTGTCCCAAACCAGTTCTTAACCATCGCGCCACTTGGCCGGCCCTACACTACATTTTTTTATAGACATTCTACCCTGATGGGATTTTTCTGCACGTTCATTACATGGAAATGTTGATATTTGACCTAACAGTGAACTCAACATTATGATAAATCAAATCAGATGGAACAATAGTGTCCTTAACTTCCCTGTGTCACTCTTATGTGCATACAGATGCTCAGGGAAATCAGGAAAGATTCTGGTAATGAGGCAGAAGCAAATCTATATGGAATCCTTAAGGGGAGACAGGAACCCAGCTTCCAGATTTGTCCTTTCTTTTAAAAGGGAGAGTAAGGGACATACCACCTTGCAGGATTGTTCTTAGAATTAGAAATAATGTTCACTTTTATCACCAGAACTTAGTCCTTGGCAATGTAATGGGCACCTATGGACGATTACATCCATAATCGTCTCCAATCCTAAAATAATCCCCAAATGTCTGAAAACAAAAGGATTTTTAATAACTTCTTTGGTAGCAAAACCTAGATCCCGCTCGGGGTATTGTATAACAAAAGTATATGAACCACATTACCTTTCTTAAACTCGAAACGTTTCTAAATTTCTAAACAGGTCTGGCCCAGTCGTTTCTGGCTCATGGGTTGTGGTCATGTATCTGAATGAATGTGAATGACTTCTGTGCCTGGTTGTGGTCTAAGCAATTTACATGTATTAGGTAATTTATTCCTCATAAAAAAAAACTTTATACGGTTCTATAAGCTTCAGTTTACAAATGAAACTAAGGCACAGAGGAATTGAGTAACTTGCCCAAGATGGTAATAGCAGAATCGGGGTTCCAACCCCCACCCAAGAGCCTGCACTCCTGCAGTGAAGAGGGAATAAGAGACTACTAAGGGACTCGCATAATGCACAACTAGTAAACAACTTAGATATCAAAATACATCAAAGCCATGATGCTAATTCATTTGGTTTTGCCCACTCTGGCTACTGCAAAAGTGTAATAAAATCATGTGAAAAAAACTTGACAGTGAAAGTTCTATCTTAATGTTTTATTTGGCACATACTATATGCTAAGCATGAGTCTAATTGCTTTTCATGAATTCCTAGAAACACACCTCTCAGTTCAGCCATTTTTATCAGCTGCTATTGCAGAATCTGAGCAGTGAGAGTTAAATAATGTGCCCAAGGTCATCTCTAAGGTCACCCAGAGGATTTGAATTGAGGAAGCTGGTGCTATTGCACATTTTCCCCGACCTTGGTGCTTATTGAGTCTATAAAATGCACATTTGCGTTGTTTTTCTAAAATACTTACCCAGGTGCCTTATGTGCCACAGGGGATTGATTGTGGAGTATTTCCCATGAAACACAATCAGCATTGGGGAGGTGGCCACACCTCCTCCCAGGGAGCTGCTGTAGAGATTTTCCCTAAAAAGGAATAGAAAAGCAACATTTGGTCGGAAGCCCCACAGACTCAGATAAAGTAGAATCTAATAATTTTAAAATTATTTTTAAATTACTATATAATAAGACTATAGCCTTTGATTTCCCCACCAACTTTTTATTTTGAAAATTGCCAAACCTACACAAAATTGTGAAAAGAATACCATGAACTTCCATGTACTTCACCTCCATTCACACAGAGTGCTAATACTTTGCCATTTTAATCCTCAGGCTTTTTTATGGCAAACAGAGATCAAATTCTGATCCTACATTATTTAGAATACCTTTATTCACAAATTCAAGATTATGTGGTATTAAAATTATCCAGAAAAAAGAAAGAAGGGAAATACAATGTCATGATCCTAGTGGTTGTGTTGGTTTTATTTTCTCCATTTAAAACTTCAATAAGGAAAAATGATAAACTTTGAAAAAAATCAACCCTAAGAAACAAAGTTGCCTTTATAAAGTAATGCTTAAAAATAAATCTATGTAAGAAGGAGAAACTCGACTGAGATAAATGATTTTCAGTTGAAAAGGTTCACTAGGATTCTGGGAGATTTAAAGTCACATTATTAAGCCATTTATTAGAAAACTTTGTATAATAAGGGATTCTGCAGGATATCACTCCTCTGACATGTCATTTGAGAATAAATTTTCACCTACTGCCCCTTTTCTTTCTCAACAGTGCCTCTGTGAGAAAGTCCTACCTAAGATGTCTATAAAATATTAATAACCCCTGAGCTATACATAGAAAATTCATTGAATAATTTTGTTCCCAAGCATGGAAAAAAAATGGTAAAGAGGTGTACACATACTCCACATTTTTTTGCATCCATTTCTCCAGTTGTTTGGTGATACGCTGGTGCTTCCATTCCGTGATGTTGGCAACAATCACACCAGGATTGAATGAGCAAGTGCTGGGGCTTATGCCGAGGTCTTTGATAGTCTTTTTCCGGTAGTCCAGATAACCCATGTATGTATTCTGTAGAGGAACAGGATACGCATGCTTTTTTTTTTTTTTCTTTTTTATTAGCTGAGCCATCCTGCTACCTGTTGGCAGCTCAGCAGCTGCTCAGCTCAGGCTGGACTCGAACCGCTGTTGCTCAGAGCTCAAACCCTTGAGCGAGCTCTTAACCAACTGAGCCACTCGGCCGGCCCAGGATACGCATGCTTTTGATCAACGGGTATTTTATTTCTGGAAAAGGATAATTTCCTTGAAACCATTGTGCAGTGCCTCTGGGTTCCCTCCTGTGTCCCTGGCCACATCCCACTGTCCTCCTTTGCTGGCTTCCTCTTGTTTCCCCAGCTTCTAAAAGCTGAGTGCCTAGCCTCATTTCTAGCTCCGTTCCTTTCTCTCGTACTGACTCCCTAGACAGCCTCAGCCAGTCTCGTGGCTCTAAATACTATCTGTGTAGACAGTTCTGACCTCTCTGGATTCTCAACTCCTGCTACATCTGCCAACACAGTGTCTCCTTCTGGACACTTAATAAGGCAACTCCACTTACATCCAAAAAATGCTCCCAATCCTATCCCAAGTGGGCTGACCTACCACCTGCCCCACCTCAGTTGGTGGTAACTCTCCTAGTTACTTAGGCAAAAAACCCAGGGTTATTAGGTCATCCTTGACTCCTCTTTCTCACTTTTCATACAATTCTGTCAACCAATCTATTGGTCCCATCTTCCAAACTAGATGCAGAAGCCAACCACTTCCCAATGCCTCTACTGCTGCCTTCCTGGTCCAGGCCATGATGACCACTCACTGGTTTTCTGCCAGCTCCTCCTAACTCGTGTCCCTGCTTCCATCCTTTTTAACCCCCTCTGTCTCTCTGATCCTCATCTGCTCAAAGCCCCTCCAATGGCGTCCCATCTCATTCAGAGTAAAAGTGAGAGCTCCTAAAATGGTCTGCCCTGCCCTATACCATCTGCCCTCCCATTATCTCTCCAAGTTCTGTAATTCTTCTCCTTGATCCCTCTGTCATGCTGACCTTATTTCTTTAAGACACCAGACACACTCCCGCCTCAGGACCTTTGCACTTGCTGTTAACCTCTTCATGGAATGTTTTTCTCCCTCTTTCAGGTATGCTCAGCAACATCATCTCAGCAGAGCCTTCCATGATCACCCTATTTAAAATGCAGCCCCACCTCCACCCTGAACATCTACTAAGTATTTTACTTGTCTTCCCTCTAGAATGTAAGCTACACAAAGGCAGGCATTTTAGTTTTGTTTGCTGTACTACTAGTACCTAAAACAGTGTCAGGCACATAGAAAGCACTCAGTAGGTAGTTGAATGAATGTAACATGAGGCAGGACATATTGTTTCACATAGGCTGCCATAAGCCACCTCAGTGGGATGCTCAAATATGACCTGAAAGTAATAGACTCACTCAGGCACTTTCTATGTGCCAGGCACTGTTCTAAGAACTTCACAGGCATTACCTTATTAATTGCCAGTAATAAGTTTACATGTATTAACTAATTTAATCCTCTATTTGATAAATAAGGAAGAATACAATTGGTTAAGTATTTGGCCCAAGATCAAAGCCACTAAGTGATGGAGTTAAGATCCTGACAAAGTTGTGTTTGGCCCCAGAGTCTAGGCCCTAAAGTGTGTCACATCTTAAATGTCAGACATTTAAAATTATTTCCTGAAACTTGCTTTGAAGAACAGCATTCAATTCTTAATGGCACGTTGTATTTCAAAGCCATTCTTTTGGTTTCAGTATTACACATAGGTTCAACTTTCCTCATTTCCATCAGGGTACAGAGGTCTTTACCCTTAAACAAAATCAATATTCTCCTCTGCTGAAAGAGGGGAAAAAGAAGTGATGGTCAAAACCCTGAGAATAGGGCTGGCCGAGTGGCACGTTGGTTAAGAGCTGGCTTGGGACGCCAGAGGATCCCAGTTCGGATCC